TCCAAGTTACTTCACAAACAGTAGATGCCATTGCCTTAGAAGAAGATTTAGACACTGTTGCTTGCCTTTTAGATTTCCAAGATAATAAAGAATTACCAAGCATAACACAATACCCAGTGATGGACTTCCTGGTCATAAGACAGGAAGCCCAATTAGAATCACTATAGGCCACCAAATTCAAAGAATTCTAAGATGGAAAGTACAAACCAAGACCAGGAGCTTGTTTAAGATATCGAACTGTTTTCAAAGCTGCTACCATATGGGAATCTTTAGGGGAGTGCATGAACTGGATAAGCAAATTCACTGAATAGCTAATATCTAGCCTAGTTTGACATAGATATAGAAGTTGGCCCACCAATCTTTGATAAGGATGAGGATCAGGTAGTAGAGAATCATTAGTGATGTTAAAGAGCTTGTCATATTGCATGGAAGTGAACTTCACCTTCTGATCTAAAGGTACAACAGTAGGCCTGGATCCAGACAATCCTGAAGAAGCAATCAACTCAAGTGCATACTTCTGTTGACAGAGAGTGATACCTTTGTTTGACTTGGCCATTTAAAGACCTAAGAAATACCTTAAAGTCCCTAGATCTTTAATGTTAAAATGAGTATGCAAAAGGGATTTTGTAGCAACAATGAGGGAATGATCATTGCCAGTTATGACAATATCATCCACATACATAAGCAAAATAACAATCTTGCATTTGTCCTTCGTAATAAATAAAGAATGATCAGATTGGGACTGAATAAACCCACTAGTAACTAAGGCAGATGTAAGCTTATGATTCCAACCCCTAGAGGCTTGTTTTAAATCATAAAGTGACTTGTGAAGCCTACAAACCAAATTGTGCTTACCTGGTTAGGTAAAACCTTGTGGCACTGTCTTATAAATTCTCCTCCTGTAGGTCTCCTTGCAAGAAAGCATTATCCACATCCATTTGAAACAAATGCCAATTATACATGGATGCTAAAGCTAGTATTAACCGAATAGTAACCATCTTAACTACTGGAAAAAAGGTCTCAACATAATCTACCCCTACTTGTTGAGTATACCCCTTAGCCACTAACCTAGCCTTATACCTCTCCAGTGTATCATCAGATTTGTATTTCAACTTATACACTCACTTGCATCCCATGGGAGTTTTACTTGGGGGCAAAGGAACTAATGACCAAGTGACATTATGCTCTAAAGCTTGAATCTCCTTTTGCATAGCAGCTATCCAATTAGGGTCTTTGGAGGCTTGGGCAAAAGTAAAAGGTTCAGTGAGATTGGAAAATTCTGATAAGCATGCTTGATAAGTGGATGGTAAGTGTAAATAAGATAAAGAGGAATGTATAGGATATTGGGCCGTAGCTACTGTTTTAGGTTTAGATAGTGTTGGACAAACAAAATCAGTTGTCCAAATAGGAGGTTTAGACCCCCTAGTGGACTTTCTAATTGTAGAGGCTGGATGTGTTTGATTTGTGATAAGAATACCTTGTGTAAAGGTAGGTGGATTTGAATGTGATAAAGCTGGTAAAGAAGTGTCTAGGATAGGTTCAATAATTGGTTCTTGTATCTAAATGGAAGAGGCATCTCTAGATAATACAATATGATCTTGAATAGGTAAAGTAGAAGAAGTAGTATCTAAATCCATGAAAGAGTCTGTTAAAAACAGAGGCTTTGTTGATTTGAACCAAGCAAAGGGAAATTTTTTTTCATAAAAAATCACATCTCGACTAACTTCAATAGAATGTGTTTGTAAGTCATACAAGTAATAGCCTTTTTGTGTAAGTGGGTAACCTAGAAAAGCACACGGTGTAGACCTTGGAGAAAACTTGTCTTTAGGAGATAAGGTTGTCACATAAGCCGGGGAACCAAACACTTCCAAATTTCCAAGATTAGGTTTCTTATTATAGAACTTTTCATATGGGGATTGCCTATGAAGAACCCTAGTAGGTAATCTATTAATGATATAAACTGTTGTTTTAATGCAATATCCCCAAAAGTCATGTGGCATATGTGATTGAAATTTCAATGCCCTGGCTACTTCTAAAATATGCCTATGTTTTCTCTCTACAATACCATTTTGCTATGGAGAATATGCACAAGTACTTTGATGTTCTATGTCTTTGGCCTGTAGGAGTTCAAAACAGTTTTTATTAAAAAATTCTAACCCATTATCAGTCCTAAGGCATTTGGAGTTTTGGTGAATTGATTTTGGACCATTGATAAAAACTGTTTGAAAATTTGAAAGACATCAGACTTAAATTGCATGAGGAAAACCCAAGTAATCCTAGAGTGATCATCTACTATGGTTAAGAAGTACCTAGCATTCCCATGGGCAGGGATCTTGTACGGACCCCATACATCCATGTGCAACAACTCAAAAATATTAGCTGTGGTTGATTGACTTAGTGAGAAAGGAATTATGGTCTGCTTTGCAAGTGGACATATAATGCAATGCGGTGTATGTGAAGAAGGCAAATCAAGATGCATTGACTTTAAAACATGATATGGAGTATGCCCTAATCTATAATGCCTAGTTTCTGAATCCACATTCAAAGAAGATGTAGAGGAAGATAAAGAAACACACTCTTTATTATTTTGCAAACCAAAAGGGACATTGGGGATACAACATGATGTTTTAGAAAAAATATCATGCGATGACTGTAAATTGATTACATTGTCTTTTATTTTTGAAATTGGTGTAAAATAGTATAACCCTTACTTATGTTTATAATATTGTTAGGTTAAGTCTGTTACATTGTTTGTATTAGTTGATGCCAACTGTATAACTATGGTTAGGTTAGTTGGTAACTGTGATTAGTAGAAGATTGATTAAATTATTAAGATTGAATAAAATTTAGGAAAATCCGATGGAGATAAAATTGGGAGCCAAGAATCACTCGGTTCTAGTTTATTAAGGAAACCAGTAATTTCTCCATTGAGGAAGAACTTGGGTAGAAATTCAGAAGATGATGAGGTCAGCAAGGAGGAAAGTGAAGAGTATTGGGAGGACAAGAATTGGCTTCGTCATTTTGCTCTGATACCATGAAATAAAATGAAGAACAGAGGATTCTTGGAATGTATTCTTCCTTTTTCATTACTGAATTTTTCGCACTATTACAACCCATATAACAAGATGTTAATCAATCTTCTACTAATCACAGTTACCAACTAACCTAACCATAGTTATATAGCTGGCATCAACTAATACAAACAATGTAACTGACTTAACCGACAATACTATAACCAATAATTATATTTATGTAATTAATATTAGGTAGCATTAATGATATATATATTGCAAAATATATTAAAAATTATTTCATCTATCAATTTGTAAAGTAAATATTAACATTTACTAGCTCTTTCATAAAATACTAAAACTTACATTTATTAATTTTATGTAGTACTTTAGTTTTAGAGAACGTTAATATATTTATAAAATTCTCCCATGCTTAAAGAACTTATAATTTAAAAAAAAATGTTTAATTATTGTTGTTAGATACCCTGGCTTAAAAGTTGAAATAATGAAAATAAAAAAAATTATTATAACCTAAACTAAAAAAAAAAAAAGAATGTTTAATTCTAATTTAAATTTCATCTTCTTATTTACAATCCCCTACATATATTGATTGAAAAATATATTTTATTCTTTAGAAACTCATAGAAATCAATGCAATCTATTGTTAGTGATTTTTTTAATTTATAAAAATCCCATTAAATTATTTTCAGTACACCTGATTCAAATAGAATAACTCCAAATTATTTATACATTTTCGTCTTCAAACTTCAATAAAAAAAAATTGAACAACAATTCTTGATCTTCTACATTTACAAACACGTTGATGAATTTTAATTCAATTATATGTAGATCACAAATGTATTCAATTTTTTACCTTTTAATATATTAAATGTTACGTATTAATTAATTAAAGCGCATATTTAACATTTACTTAGGATGAAAACTAGAGTGTGTATGTACTTGAAGGCTTATTAATTCATTCTTCTTATTGGATCTCAACCCATAGTCATTTCATTTTCACTCTTTAAGTATTAATTAATGCTGTTAGCTGGAACCCAGAAGTTTTTCTGAACTCTTATTTAGTAAAACACATCACAAATGCATGTAGGTGTAGCCCTAAATATTAGATACGCAAAACTAATTAGTTTATCGCCAACTATTATAAATACAAATACCCAGTTGTATAAATATTTATATTTATATTTATATTTATAAATGCCATACTTCCATTTTTATATAGCCTTCTACATAAGAACTGGGTTTGGTGCATGCAGTTTCGTCTTTGAGAAGACAAACCATTGGTGAACATAAAGTTGAAATCATAATTTCTAAAAATGACGATTTGTTAGAGACGTCCTTATGATATGTCAAGGTCCACAACTAGATGACCTAAAATTAATTAAGCCTACCAAAAGGTAACTGTTCACAAGTGCGACAACCAATTGATGGTAACAGAGTTTAATGATCGATATAGATTAGACACAAGAAACAATAAAAGAAAATTGATGACTCCATCGGAAAATTAATTAAACCTACCACTGCTGTATGCACGTATAGTTGAATATATGGCGTACTGAATTTTACCAAATTTTCCATGTACAACAAAAATGACTAATTCAGTCAACTTATCATCGATGAAATACAACATTTCCCATATACCTTCTAGGTTTATTACAAAGGCTTCTTGTTTTTCCTGAAATAACAGCAGTTACAATGTGTTTTTTCTTACATGGTTGAGACATTAAACACAAGAAGGGGCCTTGGGCTGTCTATATATACAGATACATAATAGTTGTAAAGAAAAAAAAGAAAAAATAAAAAGATTGTGGAAGCTAGAAGACATATAAGAAGAGCCAATAAGAATTAATACATGCAGGAGAGAAGTAAATGCACATCCCAGATAAATATTATGACTTTTAATAAAGTAACTTAAACAAAGAAGCAAACCCTTGAATCAAGCCTTGTGATAGTGGTTTTTCTCTTAATCTCTTTTTTTTTTTTTTTTTTTTTTTTTTTTTTTTTAACTTTTTGTGGCGTCAGAGCTTGACAATTTCCGGAATATGTACAGGGTATCGATCGATGCAATCCGCCCAAGGCCCATCGACTGGTGTCTTGATGGTTTTGTTACACTTCCAAACAGCACTGTTGCATTTAAACCCACTGCCAAAAGCAATCTGCCAAACTCTTTCTCCCTTCTTCATCCTCCCCTTTGATTCAACATAGCTCAATTCGTACCAAAGAGATGAAGATGATGTGTTTCCGAATCGATGCAGTGTCATTCTTGAGGCTTCCACGTGCTCCGCTGAGAGCTGCAAATTCTTTTGCAATTCATCTATGACTGCTCTTCCACCCGCATGGATACAGAAGTGTTCAAAAGCCTGCTTGAAGTCAGGAATATAAGGTTTCCACTTAGGGTTGAAAATTTTACGGCCGATGAGAGTAAAAAGAAACAACAGTTGCTCGGATGCGGGAAGTACAAGAGGTCCCATCGTTGTGATGTTGGACTTTAAAGCCTCTCCTGCTATTGCCATGAGATCTTTGGACAATGAAATCCCTACTTTGCCCTCTTTGTCTTCTTCTTCAAACACACAACGATAAGCCTTGTCATCTGCGCCTTTGTGGGTGCGAACAACATGAACCAGGCGGTACTTGGCTCGCCGACTCTCGGACCTTCGGTTCGATAACAAGATTGCGGCTCCACCCATACGGAAGAGACAATTTGGAAGGAGCATGGCTCTTTCATTTCCTTGGTAGTAGTTTGGTGTTATGATCTCTGTGCTCACTACTACTGCGTTAGAATTTGGATGCACTTGAAGAAGATCACGAGCTAAGTCGATAGAAATAACCCCTGCACTGCATCCCATTCCGGAAAGATTAAAGCTTTTAATGTTACTTCTGAGCTTGTATTTGTTAATCACCATAGCTGATAAAGACGGAGTTGGAGAAAAAAGACTGCAATTCACTATAAGAATGTCGATGTCTTTAGGCTTAAGACCAGTTTTCTTGAACAAAGAATCCATGGCTGAGAAGATAACAAGTTCAGCCTCTCCTCTTGCAGCCTCCATAGTTGGAGTTGGAGGAATGTAGTGAATAGCCGGAGGCAAGCACGTCTCTTCACCAAGACCGGACCTTTCAAGAATTCTCATCTGGAACTCAACACTCTTAGGGTTGTTCTTCAAGATGAGCCTGGAGTGCTCCATGAAGGTGGCAAAGGGGACACGGCAGGTCACGGGAGGTTTGTAACAAGCGTAGTCCACTAGGTAAATGGTTCTCGGCTTGGACATGAAATAAACGGTGGCGACGAAGATGATGAGGAAAGAAGAGCAAAGAATCTGGACAAGATCAAAGTGAAGCGAGTGCCAAAGATTGACAATTTCCTCAGGGCCTAAACGAAGAACCTCGAGGAGAATAGCTACCATGACGGGCACAAGCAAGAGGTAAAGAATGTGATTGACAAGATACTGGTAACCAAGTTTAACATACTTGAGTTTAACAGAACTCAAGAAGTCAGGCAAGATTTGAGGCATTGTTGTGGAAGTATTAGGCGTTGGAGATGAAAGATAGAAGAGAAATGTTGGTGATGAAAGAAAGATGAGGAAGGATTGAGGGTAATAGGAGTAGTGAGGGTGGGAATTTAAAGGCTACGGGACCGGGAGCAATGAAGGAGGCAGATGGTAGGATTAAATGAAGGACTTCACGTCACTCAACGCTCACTTAACTTGGTATTTATTTTTCATAACTCCTCCAATTTTTTCCGGTTGTAACTAAACCAACCCAGCCACCCATTAAGATTTTTGGTACATTCATCCCCGTGAGTTTCTCCTTAGTACAAATACTTCTCTTCTTCTTTAATTAACTGACATTGACGTGATTTTTTCTTCATTTCACACTCTCTCAATTATTTATTGATATCCAAATAACTAATATTTTATACTCATTCTTTCTCGTACTCAGATAGAGTGCTCTAAAATTAATTAAATTATAATATGTTCACCTTTTATTTAATTAATTTGGTCTAAAAGTGCAAGAACCTTCTTTTTATTATGTACATGCTATCTATAGTTAAGTGACAACTGCCAGGCATAGGAAAAGTTAACCAAACTGGACAGTAGTTCGCTGGAAAATAAAAATTTAGAATGAAATGAAGGATAACTAATAAACTAAATTATATTTGACTTCTACTCACTGCAACTCGACAAAATTTAAAATGAACCAAACGAGAAAAGAAAAAGTCAAAGTCTGTAAGGGCTTCATTTTTTTTTTTTTTTTTTTTTTTTTTTTTTTTTTTTTTTTTTTTTGGGTGGAAGGGAGAGGTTGGCTATTAATTTCCCGATCATGACATGCATGGTGCATTTTGTCATGAAATAAATAGTGCTAGCTTGCATAATGTGAACGGTTCAATTATTGGGAACGTTAAGATTACAACTTAATTTCTGAATCCACAATATAATATTTATTTCTGAATTTAGAAATTGTATGTCATTATCATTTATGTGGAGTCCTCAATAATTACAATTATAATTATAATTATATTATATATTCATTATACTCTTTATTTTACTTATCAATTATACTCATTTATATATATATTTATTCAATTGCAATTAAAAAAAAAAAAGTTAATTTGAAGTTTAATGCGAGGGTAGCTTGTAGTATGATTATTATATTACAAAGCTTGCTTTAATTAACGTAAAGGCACATGATGAATTAATGGGGATTACGAAATTAATTAATTTGCTGATCACCAAACAAAACAACTCGCCGTCAAGAATTAAAGATTGTAGGCTCATTACCTTTTCAAATTCCTGAAATACCAAAAGCCGCTAACAGCTAGTTAAATAGAGATATAATATAAGTGTTCTACTAATATATAACCCCAAAAGAAAAAATTGATTTCTTATCCACCAATTGACTTCAATGCTGTGTTTGTTAAAAAACAAATGAAAAAGAAGATAATATAAACTTTCTATACATAGCTAAAATAAGACATAATTTAGGTTTTGCATCTCAAATCATTTGTTACTGTTTCAGTTTTTTTTTTTTTTTGAAAAAAGTAAATTTCATAAAAGAAAAAAGAAACTATATAGAAAACTAGTGGCATACCCTCAGAAGAGGTCTAGAGAAGACAAAAACAGATGTGCCCTTTTTTTGGACAAACAGATGAGAACAACCGCTCAAAAGGGAGCACGCATGCTCCAAACAAGGGAGGGAGATGGGTTCAGGTGCCCTAACGGAGCTCACAGGCTCAAACCAAATGGAAAAGAGAAACAGACACAGACGTCCGACTAGAACACACAAGCTCAAAACAAACAAGATCAATTAGTTAGGGAGGCTCCAAATGGCTCTAAGATGAGGATGGATGGCACATTGTTTCAGTTGTGCTAGAATGCATTTGAATTGTATCATTTAAGAAAAAGAAAACATTATGATAAATGATATTCCAAAACTAACGTTACATTATTGAGAATGCCAAAAAAAAGAGAGAGAAATTACAAGGTAGTAAAAAAGATTATTCAATTTCAAAGAAAAGCCCAAAGGTGGCTCAAATACGAAAATGTGATGGGAAGTTAAGTGGGCTTAATTAAAGAAGCCGAAATGGATGCAAACCCAACATCCCGGTGACGCAACGCAACCACCATATTGGTTTTAATATCATACCACGTGTATACTCAAGTCAACTCACTTCCTACTTATCTCTAAATTAAAACGCACAAAATTTTGCCAAACCTCTCCATTAAATAACACGTGTCCTCATCAGTAACTGAATTCTGCCTACATTAATTTGCATCATATCCTTCTCATTAACCCATTGTATTCAAACCTGAATGTGAACTTGCACACGATAAATAGGAATTGATAAACAAAATAAAGAGGCAAAAAGTTTTGCGTAAGGGAATAACTGAAGAGGCTTTACATGCCATGCATGCAATTAAGAAATAATCTAAGGGAAAATAAATAACGACGGTGTCTCAGAAAGAGAACCAAAACTCGATTTTGTTTTGTAATTTATGGGCAGCAATTTGCAAAACCACGGTGAGATTAAATTTAGAATGTTGTGTTTGATCTTTTCTGTTAACCCACAAAAACTATTAAATCCAAAGGTGACACCTTCAGTTTATGTAACCCACAAAAACATATTTGTTTAATTTATGTTCATCAAATGCATAAAAAAATATGTTCATCCATACGTGTGATAATAATTCTTCATTGCAAATGGATTACTTTATTAGTCCACTTATTTCTATTTGTACATATGAGTATTAATTATTATAGTTGAAATATTTATAGTTTCTTAATTAATTAATTACATATCCCACGATAAGGTTATATGTGAGAGTTTATTCTAATATGAACTTTTCCAATAAAATTATTCAGTGTTAGAATTAATTACAAGTTCTAGTTATATATATAGCTAGTAGAAAAGCATGCATTTTGCAACTAATGGATAGGAAAGTTAACACACTAAATGTAACCTCTACCTCTACATAATTACACCACAAATGAATATAGGGTGCCTCTAATAACTAATGGTATTGAACTAATTCTTATTAATAATTAATTAAATTGTAATAAACGGATCGATTAGAATAATAATATTGTTGTGTGTGATTTTTCCATTAAGCTCGGAGAAGTCAGAGTTCCGCAAGGTTATAGTTCGATCCAAAATCAGTTCAGCTCAACACCTGTCCGACTCAGCATAAGCTCGTCGAGATATAGCTTGACCCAACATAAACTAGTCGCGATCAATCATGACAATTGTCAACCAGATAATTGATAAGCTCATATCTCAGATATTTCGGAAGATATCAGATCAACAGCAATGATAGCGCGATCTTAGTGCTCAATCGCGAGAATATCGAAATTGTACTTCCACCTTGATTGTAATTCCTTTATTTTCGTTATTTCCTTTTAAAGAAACTTATATATAAACCCCCTCTAACAACGGAGAATGGGTTAGTAAATTATCCTAGACATTATACTATTTTCTTGTAAGTTCTCTAAACAAATAAGAAAAACAGTGGACATAGGCTCAAGATTCAAACTTGTCGAACTACTTTAAAAACATTTTGTGTTCCTTACATTACTTTTTTTACATTCATTGCATTACTGGTTATCTTTAATCACATACACATTAGTTACAATTTCACCAAGGTCAATCGGATAATTCTAGTTGGTGTAATTCTTGCATCAACAAATGTGCTATCAATCATTTAATTGAATACCTAGTTCTTTAAATAAAATTTAAAAAATATTTAGTTACATAAATATTCAATTAATAAATAATTAAATAAATAATATGATTATTTCTTCCATGTTTAATTGTTTAACTATTTTATTATATAACTAATTATTAAATGATTGGGGCCTTAACTAATTATTATTTAGTATTAATAAAATGTAATTATTTAATTCTTCTAATATCTAACTAATTATTTTAACTATTCTTGTTTTAATATTTTATTTGACAGTGTGGAGGTTTTGTTGTTGATTGATGGTGATGAAATTATTATTATCCTCAAAATAAAATGAATATCAATTAGCATTCTAAATACTTTTATCTCAATGTATAGATGAAGTTGTGATGTAATAAATTATATGATAATAAGATATCTTTAAATATGATAACACAATATTGGTATGAAAATCTTTGAATAATTCTTGAGATGAGAATTTTGTAATGAATCCTTGTAGTTCCATAAACTAATAAAATTAAATATTATAATTTAATTTCATTCATAAGTATGTTTCTGTTACAAGTTAATCTATGGAAAAGAAAGTTAATCTACATATTGCAAATTATAATCTGACTAATTTCCACCAATAAACACATGAAATGATACTTGTCTTCACTTAGGTATTATTTTTTTAAAATTCTCCACGAGCAGAACTAACTTATCATTAGAAAAAAAATGTTTATTATTGTTGTTAGATACCCTGGCTTAAAAGTTGAAATTGAAAATAAAAAAATTATTATAACCTAAACTAAAAAAAAAAAAAAGAATGTTAATTCTAATTTAAATTTCATCTTCTATTTACAATCCCTACATATATTGATTGAAAATATTTTATTCTTTAGAGACTCTATCATCATGCAATCTATTGTTAGTGATTTTTTAATTTATAAAAATCCCATTAAATTATTTTCAGTACACCTGATTCAAATGAATAACTCCAAATTATTTATACTTTTCGTCTTCAAACTTCATAAAAAAATTGAACAACAATTCTTGATCTTCTACATTTACAAACACGTTGATGAATTTTAATTCAATTATATGTAGATCACAAATGTATTCATTTTACCTTTTAATATATTAAATGTTACGTATTATTAATTAAAGCGCATATTTAACATTTCTTAGGATGAAACTAGAGGCGTATGTACTTGAAGGCTTATTAATTCATTCTTCTTATTGGATCTCAACCCTAGTCTATTCATTTTCACTCTTAGTATTATATGCTGTTAGCTGGAACCCAGAAGTTTTTCTGAACTCTATTTATAAACACATCACAAATGCATGTAGGTGTAGCCCAATATTAGATACGCAAAACTATAGTTTATCGCCAACTATTATAAATACAATACCCAGTTGTTAAATATTATTATTTATAT